AACCTTCATTTTTTCTGGAAATTCCGATGTTTTCCTACAATTTTGAGGTACTAGAGCTTGATGTGAAATTTTTTTGTAAAAAGCTCTAAAAATGTTGTTTCTTTGTTTAACTTGTGCTTTAATTTATAGAGTATAGTCTGAAAATTGTTTCGATTCTTTCAGTACCTTATGTTTTAAATGATGCGGAATCCACTATAATGATTTGGTATCATATAAATCCAATATTTTTGCAAACAATTGTTAACGTCACAATGTTTATATGACAATATGAAGACAATAGACTACATGGGATTGATATATGATAACGCAATTTGATAATTAAAAAAGTAAAATGTTTGCACATTATTGGGTTTTCATTTTCTGCCTGAAACTTAAAATCGTCCAACCTACTGTTAGTAAACAACCTCATTGAAATGACAGTACAAATACATCACATTTCCATAACATTTCACCTCTTGAGGGTGATCCTTAACAGTAGCGTATACGGGGGGGGGGGGGTTAGAACCCCCCATTGACCTTAAAAAGTGATTTTGACAAGCAAAATTTGTTGTTTACAATCAAAAAATCTCTTTTATATGTCTCAAATTAGTCTAAAAACGTGAGTTAACAGGTCTAATTCTTACAATTTTTTCGGAGGATGGCCCCGGTTGGAGCCTTTTCCCTGGGAGTTATTCGATACCCCCCAAACCCCCTTAGGATAAGAAACTAACAATAAACCAGTATTCTACGTCAACATTTTAAAATGATTGATTGGAATATTTTAAATTCTAAAACTAGCCACAACTTTAATACTGGAAATGAATGTCTATTTCACGTTACAGTTCAAACTTAAAAGGCACTAAAATTAATTAAAAAAAACTATAAACTCGAAAATTCAAGATAGTTAAACTCGAACAGGGATTTTTAACTAATCTTCCCCAAGAGCTTCACGATAATATCACCATCGTAAAGTTAACATCTGACGATCGCTGACGATCGTTTGGCAGCAGACGATGACTCGAAGGTAATGATTAGGAATCTGCTATAATTTGGGTTTAAATATTTGGTCCTCAAACAGATGTTAAAAAGGTGTAAAACTTCAGTTTCAAAAACCGGTTTTATTTGGCTTCCGATTTAATCAGTTTATTCGTTCTGTCGAGACGGAGGCTGCACTCATTCGAATGAATATATCGATCGATATATCAATTACTTATTTCGATATATCAAGTTTGGGTTGTTACGTTAACCTAACCTAACTAACCGAATAATATAATCGATATATCGAATAATCTGTATATCGATATTTTCATTCGAATGAGTTTAGGACGTAAACTTGAAGTGAAGCCACGGATTAATAGGGAGAAATTTGGAGTTTAAATTTATGAATTTATAGAAATATGTTATTATTTGATTACTATTGAGACTCAATATGTATTGTGGTATTCATGTCTCTGATTAAAGTAATTGATGTTTTTGTTTTTATAAATGAGCTACACTAAAGAAGGCATTTTGCCCTACTACTCTTGCTTAAAATATACTTGAAATACAAACAATGTTGTTTTCCATCAAGTGAACCTTGAAAAATAACTGGACATAAATGTATGAAATGTGTAAATAACAGTTTTAGTTTCAGTAGTTCTAGTTCAAGCGTCTTTTTTAGGTCACATGAATTTACACCAAATTTATAGTATTTAAATGTAAAAGAAGGGTGAAAAAAACAATTAAAGGTATTTTTCAAGTTTTAAACGTTAAAGCCTACTTTTACCAACAAATTCTAAAAAAAACATGTTCGTGTTTGCTATATTATTTTACATTATTTAACCCATCCTAAAGATTACAAGAGAAAACTCAACTGAAAGCTAAGCAAATCATACTACAGCATAGAGAAGCTGAGAAATAAAATTCCTAAAGTAAAAAATTATAGCTATAGAAAAATTTTTAAACCCCAAACTAGAGTAGTTTTTGGGTACAAAATCCTCCCTCAGTACAAAAAATATCAGTCTTAACTTGTGACACTTGTGTTAAACAAATTTAAACTGATACACCAAAAAGTTAAAAATATTTAGGTACATTTTAAAATCAATTGTTCAGGTATAATTTGAGATACAACGCTCTATAGCCTCAATGAGCAGACTCATAACACACGAAGAGAACCTGTTATGTGCATTTAAACCAATAACCAATGTCTGATGGTTTCCTGTCTTCGCGAAGCAGTTTAAGGACCAGGACGTTATCAAGGATCTGCAGTGACACAGGATAGCCGGGACGCACTGCATTGTGGGTAAGGTGTCAATGCAACATAAAACAATTTTTTGGTCCTTCACATCCTAGGACGCTATTCAATAGTCAAAAACTTCACATTACTTCATACAAAGCCTAGAGGTTCCTGGCTTTTATCATGTAAAATCCATTGGTGATTGGCGGGATTTGAACCCGGTAGCTCAGAGACCAAAACCCCACGCTCTACCACTAGGTCACCTCGCAACCACGACTGGCAATCAATAAAATATTGACTTGTAAATAATTTAGATTCTCAAAAATCAATATTACATTTTGTAAATTACTGATTTTCCAAGAACTGTATAATTAATCTATAAACTGCTCGTCACTTTTTCTAAATATCCAACGTAATGGTAACAACTTTGTTTGTTTAGGTATACTAATTGTTTGGTGGACATTTACTGATAGAAAGTAACACTTGTGGTTTGGTCGATCCGTAGCAAATGGTTTAAAATGCTTTCGGCGTCTCAAAACAAAAACACAAACAGGTGAAGTCTAATTTTAGACTGACCTGAGGTGTGCCATTATACAGTGTGTAAATTAAGTATGGAAACAAATCTGTATTTTTAAAACCGAAATAGATAGAAATATTCTATTTGTGGCAATAATAGTTAACAAAGATTCCGCAATTTTTCACATGAAAAATATTTTTTACCCCCCTAACAGGGTAGGTGGTAGGGGGTGACTTATTTTTTTCAAATAGCAACCCCTATTGAGTGACCCCTCATTTTGAAGGGTTTGTCAAAAGAAACACAATGACGCAAATCCGAGGTGAATATCTCACTCCTAGCTAACATGGCGGATATTCCAAAATGGGCTTTTTTTACAAAAATTAAATTTTTTATTACCCACCATTTAGGCTAGGGGTGAAATATCTACCTCGGGTTTGCGTCATTCTTTTTCTTTTAACAAACCCTTCAAAATGAGGGGTCACTCAATAGGGGTTGTTGTTGAAAAAAATAAGTCACTCCCACCCCCTACCCTGTTAAAGGGGTTGAAAAAATATTGTTGATTAAAAAAATTGCGGAACCTATGTCAACAATCAATTCCACAAACAGAATATTTCTATCTATTTCGGTTTTAAAAATACAGATTTCTTTCCATTATTTGTGAAATTGGTGCTTTTCACGTACAATAAATCAAATTTTGGAATATCCGCCATTTGGGCTAGGAGTGAGATATTCACCTCGGGTTTGCGTCATTGTGTTTCTTTTGACAAACTCTTCAAAATGAGGGGTCACTCAATAGGGGTTGCTATTTGAAAAAAATAAGTCACCCCCTACCACCTACCCTGTTAGGGGGGTAAAAAAATATTTTTCATGTGAAAAATTGCGGAATCTTTGTTAACTATTATTGCCACAAATAGAATATTTCTATCTATTTCGGTTTTAAAAATACAGATTTGTTTCCATACTTAATTTACACACTGTATAAACATAACACTAGATAATCGGTTTTTAGAATTTTATGTAACTGTACTTTTTAATACTTACTTTACTTTATTCTGAAATGGCGACCTTACGAATGTAGGTATTTTAAGCCAAATATGAATGGAGATGAGTGTAGGATGAGTGGCGCGATTTTGTAGTCTTGTTAGTAACTAAGTCCGACATATTCCTTAGACACAGCTGTTAATTAACATGCCAACGGCAACTTAAGGGACCTACAGTTTATAGTGGAATCCGAACCACATTTTTGCCTAGTAATTAACGAATTGGTCTAATTATCAGGATAGTACTGCGAGTCGTAGTTCTCACTTGTGCGGACGTTAATCCACACCAGGGAGTATCGCATCCACAGATCATGCCTATAAATATCCACAATTCGTGACCTCCTGGTAGCAATTTAAAACTAATTAAGTGAGATGTGAAATAATTTCAAATTTGTTTGGGTATCTAAGAATAATTGGTTGCATGATGCAAAACGCTAACCTAGAGTTTGATTCGTCAAATTGTCTCATCAACTTCAAAGGCTACTCGAATATTAGAGACAGACATTAGACAAGATTGGGGTTCTGGGAGATATAGAACACTTTTAGGTGAAACTATTCGCCATTAAAGGAGATAACTTGACCGCAATGTTTTTCAAACAGAGTCAAGGTCACTAGATTTGGACGTAGGCCTTGATTACGTTTCAAAACCTGAGTATTGAGTTTTATATTCGTTTCAGTGATGACTTTTTATCCAATTTTCACTAGAATAACACTAGATGCAACTAATATTATTTTGATACTCGGGGATTACTGAATTTGTTTAATCAAGTGCATGGAAAAAATTAATATCAACATACAGAAAATGTTTCAGCTTCGATTCCATTTGGAATCGTTAAAGAACTACGTTAATGCAGCTGATTGACGTTTTGACAAACCTCAGCTGTTGAGGTGTTGTTTTTAAGATACGACAATAAATTCTTCCCCTAAAACCACCTAAATTAGTGTACCTAAAAAATAAATGTTCTCACAAATATTCTGTTTTGGCCGTCAACCGCGTCAGAATAAATTTGTCCACGTTTTGCTCTCTCTGTGAAACAGCTTTTACAAATTAAGAAGTTCGTTTTACCCTCTCACTATGAATTCTGTGCTAAGACTAGACATGTAGTCTGTGGGCAAGACTTCTGCAATAATTTTCATCTTGCAACGTGGTTAGTACAGAAAAATCAATCCTACATGTTGGATATTCTTAGATATTAGACCTTACAAGCTCCACAAAATAACTCTTAAAAATCTGAAAAAATCCACTCACCAGTTTAGAGATACAGGTTGCAAAGTGCTCAGTCGATCACCATGTTGCCACCTCGACCTGAAACAAGCCACCAAGTCTTAGTAACTCAACACTTCTCTGTGCTCAGACCGTGTATGTACCTGTTTATATAAGCTGTACAAAAAACTTACTCGAATATCACGCCAACTTTGCTAAAGAGCCACTTGGATAGTGTTATAGCCTCTAAATCAGCTGATGCGAGGCCGCGACAAAAGTGGCAACACCGCAGTCCCGGCTTACCGAAACAGCTGTTGCAATGGAGCGTCTGCGCTATGTTTATACTGTGGTTACCATGGCAATAAGCGGCCGGTGCGACGTTGCCACACCGTCGCGGCCTTGTTTAGAGGAAGCTATGGTGGTTTGAACGAGTCTTCATTTGTATCGAGTTTGAGTGGACTACAAATTTATCTGAGACAGTTTATAATATTTTATTCAAGTTTTTATTTAGTGCCCTCTCAGTATGACGACAATAGGGCTCACCTCAAGGCAGTAGGACTGTTCCTCCATTTTATCAAGCGATACTATTAAAGACCTACTCACTTCTACACACTTATTTTTAGAATATGAATTCAGGGTAAGGGTAAAATGAAGGTAGATAACCACGTGACTGTGTTACTGACTAAGATAAGTAGTTTCCTTAGCCAAGACCACTTAAAAGCCAAATGAAGAAGGATGCATTTCAAAAGCTTAAAAATCAATTGACTTTTCTGAGGATCGAACAAGCAAACATCTGATTTGAAGGCATGTAATAGAAACACTATACTGAAACATCAAAGTAAGTTTTTGCGCTAGTAAAGTTATATAATAAAAAAAAAACATTTCAAAAGGAGCGAACAATTTAAAGGTAAAAATGTAATACGTTTGAAAAACAATTTTGAAGAAGCTTGTTGAGCTTTAAAAAATGATTAATACAATTATTTTGGGAGAAATCAAGAATATTCGTACAGTTCAGGTTACTAATAATATATTTTAAAATGTTTTACCTTAAATTTTAAATTAATTTGTTAGTAACAAAATCCTTTTCAATGTAATCGTAGTAAAAGTGTTTACAACAATGTACACATGAACAGCATTTTAATTTCCACACCAACATTTCTAGTTGGCATTTCAATTCAAATATATTCGAAACATTGTTGTCTACGAGTTCCAATTAAAACCTCTACTTCAGTAGTCACTGGCTTCTATCGGACGCACGACGAAGGACGCAGGCTAATGTATGCGCAAACGTCAATTGAATGTACAACGCATGCGCGATGACATTCCTGCGCCGGACTCGTCTATACAGTCTAGTGTCCACTATAGGGTCGAGCTGTTACTAGTGGTGGAAGCAATTAGTGAAAATATTATGTACGAAGTCGACCAACCAGTGAGTGCAATATCAGCTGATCATATAAACTTTGTTCAGTGGCTTAGCCCATCTGATTATGTAAACCCATGACAACAGATTGGATGGTGAGGGACTAGAAAAATAATCAAACGTGTTACATGGAATGGAACTGGATACGTTCATATGTATCTAATATAGGTCAAACATTTAGTTTAACCTAATCGAATTGAGCTTCAAACATAATTTAGAACATCATATTATATCTTAGCCTACCCTGACTGGCATAATCATATGATTTTACCTACCTACAAGAGCTTAACCTATTCTGACCGGCTTGAATAAAACATGACCTAGCGTATACAGATTAAGCCTCTACCCTACATTGATTCTACTAAACCAAGCATAACCTAAAGTAGCTTAACCTACTTTGTCCTAAATAAAACTTAACCTAACATTACCTAAAATACCTTAACCTACTCTAACTAAATATAAAGCGAAAACTAACCTGCCTTAACCTCTACATCACCCGGCTATAACGGGAATTCCGACTAAAAACAAAGCATAACCTAACCTAAAATAGCTTAACCTAACCTAGACTCGGCTAAACAGAAACATAGCCTAATTTTTCTTAACCTACTGTGACCCAAAACAATATTTAACCTAAAATTACCTAAAATAGCTTTATCCGACTAAATAAAACATAAACTAACAAAAACCTGACCTAACCTGACCAAACCCTGACCTAACCTTACATATCCCAATCAATATATCAACATAATCAGTTTACATATACAAACCACAACCTACTCCAGTAGTTCACCTATCTCTAATCAATTAACGACCCAAACAAGCAACTTATCCAATTTGAATCAAAACTGTTAATTGCTTAAATCCCGCTAATTATCCTAGAGTTATCTATGCGCCGATATATCTGTAGTCAATGTTGCTGTGTAATTGCACATTTGCATTAACACAGGCGCGCAATTAAGCGGCTATTCTCTATTCAGAAGAATCAAGCGTTTCCGCGTTCGTTACCGCAGCAATGATAACTGTTACTGCTAAACAGGGTTGGACTTGAGCATGTATTAGAGCGGTTAATTGGTGATAAAACTTTGCTTTGATATCGTTTCATGTGTTTATGGTTAGTCTGTTGACTAAGTGTTTGGGTTTTAATAAATAATCCTGCCCAATGAAACAGCTGATCTTAGTCAGTATAGCTACACAGATCATTTCACTCCGTTGCACTCATCCTTCACTCATATTTTGTTACGCACCCAAGTATGCGTCGTGTTCACTGTCTCAATGAATTGACTGGTTAAATTAAACTTAATTTCTATATTAACTGCAATAGGCATAAGGCAATTTTGGTAAATAAAATATGAAATGTCACCTTTAGACAGACAAAAATACTGTTACATTATTGATCAGCTGATATTGGTTTTCATTGTTGTTCCCATCACCCATGCTAAACTAAAGTATATCGAGCGCACTATACATGCAAGTCTGGAAACATTGTTGTGTTTTAAAACCTTATACGATATCGCAACAAAAAAAATAACAACACAATTATTTGAAAAATCAAACCTTTACGAGTACATTTTGAGGATTTTTTCAGAAAACTCTAAATATTGTTCTCATTTTAACAGTTTTTGTCAGGTTTGCTGTGAAGACCTCATAATTTTCAGCAACGGTCGAGTGTACCTAATTAGTTCGTTTCCGTCCACACGACCACTACGGGTACGAGGTATGCGGGCACGCGCCACTGTACCCGATGTACCCGGTGTGATATGACGGTTTACCCCCCCCCCCATCATGAAGGGGGGCAGCTGCCGGATCCCGGGAGAACGACCGTTACTGACTCACCCCTGTGATTGCGGGGGGAGCAAGGGGAGAGAATCTCTCACGGTCGCGGTGCCGAATATGACCGAACTAACTACAGACCTATCGCACTTATCACGTGCTTTTTTGAAAAATTGAAAAAAAGCTGTATTTTTTATGGTTTTTGACTAGTAATATGTTTAATTTATGTAATTTTGTGTATTTTAATAATGGTTACTTTTTTGTGCTAGAATATAATTGTATGACCTTATAGTAAAACAAATTTATGTAAAAGGTGTTTTGAGATATCTCATTTTTGTAGTATGTAACTAAATCAGAAAGGATAATGTGGGTTAATTACAAATGTTATAGAAAAGAAATTGTATTTGTGCATACAGTGTTACAATTCCACACTAATGCCAATTTCCCAATTGTTTTTTCTACAGTTTTGTTGTATGTTTTTTAAAAGCAAATAGGATGAAAACTAAAAAATAGATTAATCTGCACTAATAAAAAAATTAAGCACTTAATCTGCTTGCCTTAAAACATGTATAAATACTTTAGGCAAAACTCACACCATAAACCCTGGAATAATTGAGATTCCAGACATAAATTTATATAACTCTTTGTATGCTTATATACATAAGTGCTCAAATACTAAAAATAATATACTAAAAATGCAATAAGTTATAGAAACATTATATATTTTATTTCATTTAATAAACAATTGTTTTTTCTCCAACATGAACGGATCCAGGGAGCAAGCTGATCTAGTGGTAGATCACGGAGCTTCAGTCTCGGAGGTCTTGGGTTCAAATCCAGCAAATAAAATTCGTCCTAGGATGCTACGATTTAGTCCAGGATCGTTTTTCATACTAGAACAAGGGTTTGCGGCAATATCCCTTACGTAAAATCCATTGGCCAACCCCCAATGGATTTTATCTAGGTATTTAATACCCCCATCTAGAACTAGCCTGAAGCAATGTGGAAAACAATACCGGACTAAACCCTAAAGAATACAAAAAATCTACGAACGAATCCAGTGGAACGATGTATTACGCAATTTGTTTAATCTTTTTGTAAACACAATTTGATATGGGCGAATCAATTACAGTACTTCACTTGTTGAAACCGGATTTTAGGACCTGAAGACAAGTAAAGGACGATGCAAGCTTGGTTGTTCTAGTCCCAAGTTTAACAGTGACCGGTCCATATGGTATTACACTTCCTACACGATGTGAAACATATCGCGGCCTTGTAAATGATATCTCACAAACCATTTTGTTTCTGGTTCGCAAACAAATATTGTTGCAAACCAGTTTGAAAGGGAAAAAACTTAAGGATTATTCGGTGGAGCGTTGCCTCTGAGAAGCTGGGAATCTTTAATCAGAGTGTTTGGAGATTGCAAAACATATAGTACAATTTTTCTGGACTTTCTTTTCGTGTTGATTTTCTCGATGGAAAGCTTGATTGGTTTTACGCCTCAGTGTGGTCAATTGGGACAAGGGATAAGTAATAAGTAATCTATTTACCAGCGAGTACTTTAATTATTTAAAAAAATACCAGTTCACAAATTGGATCTATCATACGTTTTCTAAAGTGACACTAGTGTTGAATTATTTTATGTTAGAAAAACACTATCTGAATCTTAGTTTTTCTATCATTTCATTTATTTTCATGTCATTTATTTTTGTGAAAAATGTATTTTCACATTAAATGTGTCATGTGTATATATCATGTATCCACTCCACATATATCTAAGTAAATATATTCATATTTTATCCCAGATTAAATTACTAAAAAAATCCAAGAAATTGAGTTTTATAAGTCCAAATAAACATATACAGTACACGTTCTTCCAATTTTTTTAAAACAAAACTAAAAATGTACATAT